GGGAGAGAGATACACTTCCAAAAAAAACCTCGGCCACATTCCATTTTTTGGAAAGGTGTCCAACAACACTGTTTGGCAACACAAATGTTGTGGTGTGGGCTTTCGTCTGTGTGTCTTGCCTCCATGTCAGTAGGGTAGGCGGACCGTCTACCGTGTCTGTGTCTTGAGGCTGTCTATGAGAGCAGGATTCGAGGTTAGGCGGGTAACTTTCAGGTTTAAAACTCTGGGTTTTTTCAGTCCTAAGAATCAGCACTCACTGACTGATGTTCATTCAGAGTGTGGATCAATTTTATCTAATCAAAGTCATGAGAGGGTTTAGGCTTTATTTTCCTGTTATCATCAAAGAGTCTCCTCTTGTTAACTGCTGATGATGCTGGAGGAAGAAAAAAGAGTAAGGAGCATGCAACACTGGTAGGTAATCCGGCGGGATTAAAGACCCTCTGTTCAGTTAAATGAAGCTGTAATAGTTATAACATAGTGATAACTCTCCCTGTATTTGTTAGAATGCGATTTGAGCGTAAAAACAACTTCGAGATTGGAGGAACATGTTGAAGACTTATCACAAATTCTGGAAAGTCTGTTCAAAGTTAGAGTTTTTTTGTCAAAACAAAATTTAAAATGAAAAAAGATTAACACCACTGGTGAACTGTAAGTTAAACATGAAGCTACAGACACGCAGCTGGTTAGCTTTAGCTTAGCAAGACCTGGAAACAGGGAAACAGCTGCTGGCTCTGTCATTGTACAAAAAATTACTTAGGTTGGCGGCTCTAATAGCTCACTGTAGTAAACATCATATCAAATGGTTTGTTTCATCCTCACAAAAACAAAAGTGGTAAAAAGCAAAAATGTGAAAACTCAACTTTAAATTGCATCAGAGATTCAAACACACTGGTCGAGAGTTGCATTTAATACTTTCGCCAGTTACACATTTACATTTTGGAAATGGTAGCATTTGCATTATTAGGACGTTTTAATTTCAACATATAAATGTTTTACAGTACTGATGTGTGACAAGGGAAACCTTTTCAAAGGTAAGAAGGGAAAATTTGTTCTTTGAAAAACAGAGAAAACAGAAATAGACAAACTTTCATAAGTCTGATGTTCCTGTGGATCGTCAGTTCTGCATGCTGCTTCATTGTTGCAGAAGTATGTTCGCAGTATCTGAGACAACAGCTCTGAGAATGACCAGTGACTTAAATTTATCTGCCTGTGAACTGTATCTTTTGCGTTTGGTCTCATTGTTGTCTGATCTCCCTATCACCATCAGCTGTAAGTATAGTCACTTTGTTTCCATTAATCTCTCTGCTCCACGCTCGCTTGTACCCTCCAGCAAGGTCGAGGAAAGACAGAGTGACCCGCTTGTTTCTCCTCAGATAACTTTAACGAGATTGTTCCTTGGCAAAACACAAAGAAATTTTTAAAATAATTCAGAGAAAATGTAACATTTAACTGTCCTAATGCGCAGTGAGAGGACATTTGAGTCTGTGTTAATGTTTTTCCCATGATAAAGTGCGACTTTATCAAACATCACTGACACAAGTCTGCAAACCCAGATCAATGTAAAGACTTCACTCTTCAGTTGCTTGCAAGCACTTTAATGACAATATCTACACAATATCTTAAGAGTCCCATTAAATAAATACACTTTAACAAGTTTGTTTTATGTTCTTGCTTAGCGCTGTGGCTGTGTCAACTGAAGAAGTGAAACAAGTGTAATAATATCAATATATCAACGTCAGAATAAAAAGGTCTACCGTGCAGTGACATTACAGCCGCAGAACAAAGGCTAACAGGCAGCTGGTAGATATTCACACCTCATCCTTGACAGACTGAAATGATTCAGTTTCAAACAGTAATAATCCAACCTTCCTCTAAGACTGAGAGGCAGGACTGTGGCCAGGATACGTGTTTTGATCTCAAACACAAATACACATCCTCAACACAGCCCAGTGTTCTCCTTGTGGTCGATGTAAGTTTAGCAAGGTCAGTATTTTTAACTTTACTGAGTAAAGATGAACAAGATATTGCTGTGTGTGGTGTGTAGATTTTATGCAACTCTGTTTTAATTCAGACTCATTTTACAGAAATGGTTTCATGTGAGCTCGCAGACCTGATGGCCTGTAGAAGTCTTTATTTAATGAATTTATTAAACTTTATAGTTTGTCAAGGTGGCCAGACTTAACAGGACACGGTGATGCAGGATGTAGTCTTTGTCAACACACAGCAGATATGGAAACTTCTTCACTTTACATTACATACATGTTTTTATCCAAAGTGTTTAACTTTCAAGTGAGGGACAATCACTAAAGCTTCAGTAGGAGACTTTTCAGGTAAGTAGCTAAGTAGCTACAATCTGTTTTAATAAGTGCACGAGATCAGGTAAAGAAGTTTCAGTGGAAGTGAGTAGTAAGTGCTAGTTGGCATGTGAGGCGTGTTAGAGGAGTTAGGAGAGGAGGTGCTCTCTGAAGAGAGGAGTCTTCAAGAGATTCTTGAAAGACTGGTTTTCTGTATCTGTTCAGCTGCAAAGAGAGAAACTTAAGTGTCCCTTTATGTTTTATGGAAGTTATCAGCACATGTCATGTTTACAATCTGTGTCTGTTTTGCAGTAATAATTCAAAAACTTCCTTTTGTTATTTTCAGTGACATCGAGGTAAAAAGTAGCCAGTGGACAAGGAGGGCATGTCCAGGTTCAAATTTTCAATGCAGAAGCAAGTTTGCTTGCAGCAGCAACCACCATGTGGCCGTTCTACAGAGCTCGCACAATTGGATGGTTTGATTTCCATTAATGACCTTTTCAAGTGAGGGACATCACTTAAAGCTTAAGTACAGTAGGAGAGCTTTCAGGTAAGTACTAAAGTACTGACATCTGTTTTTTAATTTAAGTGCAAGGAGATCAGGTAAATGTAGTGCAGTGGAGAGTGAAATAGTAAGTGCTAGTTATTTTATTATATAGTTTATATATTGAGTTATTTGTGTTTACATTTGCTGTGAGTCCAGAATCAGACTGAAATATGAGGTTAGGGAAAGTTTCAGAGATTTTGTTGAAACACTGTTGAGGGCACTATAGAAAATTTTCAGGGGAGTGCGTTTAAAATTAAAGTCTTTGTTCAAAAACAAAGTATAAAATGAAAATATCAACACCACTCTGGTGTCTGTAAGTTAAACATGAAGCTACAGACAGCGGCTTGTTAGCTTAGGGGGGTTGCATAGTTTTTAATCAGTTCAGACCCTTGGCAATGTACCCCATAATTACGCAACATTTTCAGATGCGCAAAACTAAATGCGGGTCAAACTATATTCACACCTTTTCTCCCAGGTAACGACAGTGATGCTGATCAATGGGTGAATTAAATAGAGTATTCCAAGTCAGATGAGAAGCAGGTGTTTGCCACAGGTTAAGGAGAAAGCTGGAAGACAAGGAAAACATTCATGAATCAGACCCCATCATCCACGCAGTAAAAATCAATCAACCATCAAGGCCAAACACAGTTCATAAGGTCAGAGCAAGAATCAATGTTTGACACTAATTATTGGTCATATGAGGAATCAAAGAACTGGAAACTCAGACAAACCAGTAACACTGGGTCTGGTGCTTGTTAAAAATATAATTTAGAAGATTGTGAAAAAACTTAGCAAACATTCATCATTTAGATCTGATTCATTCATAATGCTCTTGTTGTGGTCTCGGTTTCTTACGACTGACTTTGGTTTTTTTCATTGTAGTTCTACCTGTGTTTCCTGGTGGAGTTGATGCTGGCAGTTGGTTCCTGGTGGAGATTTTTTCGTCGGCATTGTCCGTTGACGTTGTTGTTGGTTTTCGTTTCTCTTTTGTGTAGAGTAAATTAAAAACATGTAATACAAGGCAGGAAATATCAGTTCATAGTAACTCATTTGATACACATTAAAAAGCAATCATAAAACACCTCCTAAAAAAAATTCTGCCACATACATTATTGGTAACATAAATGTCAAGCAACGC